ATCCTTCTAGTAGAATACCAAAAGATTCCCAGACTAGTTGCCATGGAGTTCACTCATGGTGACCCCATGTGTGTCAGAGTTGAACTGTGGCCCACAAAGTTTTCAGTAGCTGATTCTTTGGAAGTAGATCAGTAAGCCTTTCTTCCAAGGCACCTCTGGGTGGATTCAAACCTCCAAACTTTCAGTTAGTTGCTGAGTGCTTAACCAATCACATCACCCATGGACTCCTTCTGGTAGGTCCTAATTCCTTTTGAATGGTGTCTTTTAAAGCAGGGAGTAGACATGGAAAACAACTCATACAGGAGGAAAACACCATGTGTGAAGATACATCTACACTACCCAGAGGAAGTGAGTAGTTGAACCTGTGGGCTCAGGACCATAGTCACAGGAGACATCAAGCTCAATTGGCATAACATACTAGACAAAACATTGTTCCACCTCCTACTTCGGCGAGTAGCAACTGGAATCTTAAAAGCTTGCAAGCAGCCATCTAGATGCAACGATGGGTCTCTCCTCGTCCAGAGCAAAGAAGAGTGAAGAAAACCAAAGATTCATGGAAACAATTAGTCCTAGAGACTGACTGGTACACCATGCAATTCACAGCCTATACAACTATGAGACCAGAAGAACTAGATGGTGGCCGGCTACTGCTGTCAACCACTCAGAGGGGGATCTATGTAGGAGATCCTGGATAGAGAGGAAGAACAATGTGGAACAAAACTCAAAATCATTTGGAAAAAAGAGGGGTGGGGACCAGGTTTGCTGGGCTGATAGAGCCTGGTGGAACCACTGAGACTATGGCGCCTAGCTGCCTTCAGGTCTGGAATTGAACCCACTCCTGTGGCTTCCAGACAAACAAAAGACAGGCATATAGATTTGAACATTTACCTGAGGTAGATACAATCCTTGGAGAGAACAATCTTGGGAGAAAGAAGGGCTGTTTATGTACAGGGAGACAGCTCAAGGGGCAGGAGTGCATGGAGGGATGGACACAGGGAAGAGGTAACTATGGGGAGGAAGTGGGAGGGGAGCTGTTTCATTGGGGTAAATTGTAGTCAACGTCATGAGACAAAGTACATGTGAACTGCTATATGGAAAGTGAATTTGCTTTGCAAATTTTCACCCAAATCACAATATAAATAAATAAGTAATGCTAGAGGGAAAAAAGGACACATCTACAAGCAGCAAAGGAATGCCAATTTTGCTGGCAGCCATTAGAAGCCAGGAGGCATGGAGCAGTTTTTCTCTCAAAGCACTCAGAAGAAATTGATGTGACCGATACCCTGATTTGGACTTCTAGTGTCCAGAAATGAGAGTCAATAACTTTCTGTTCTTTAAAGATACTCACTTTATGGTACTTTGTTACAGCAGTCTGAGAAAACTCTGACAGAATGGATGCTAGCTACACAGCTTGTTATTGGATGGCAATGAACAAGGAGAAGGTTGAGTTCACTCAGGTATTGAATGAGCTCTGGACAACCTGCCCAACAAGGAACTTGCACTCTAACATGTCCCAGACTTCATCTGGGAAGTCTTATTCTCCTCCCCCTAAAAAACCCCACTCCTCCTCTTCTGCTTCTTCTTAGTGATGGATACAACTATCTTCTGTATTTCCCAGTCAGGAAACTATGTGTTATCTTTGACACTTGTCTCTCCTGTATCGCCAAAATCCAATTCATCCCCACGCTGGTGGGAGGTGATCTGTCCTCCCCCCCCCCCCCATTAGCTCCCTAAGTCGCAGGCTCCTCTCTGCCTGCACTCCACTGTTGCCTGGGGCAGTGTATCATCCCTTATCTGCATACTGTCTCAACCTGTTGAGTGATCTCACTACGCTTCCACTCCAGCCTCCTTCAGACAGAAGTGCAGCTCAAACTTTAAAATTCATACAAACCGTAAGGAGTCCTTGCTAAAGTGCCAGGTCTGATTCAGTAGGTTAGGGCAGGGCCTGAGATTCTGTGTTTCCAACAAGTTCCCAAGCAAGGCCAGTGCTCCTGGTCCATGGACCACACTTGGAGTATCTAGAATGTCTTTTCTAAAATTAAAATCTAAATATCTCATTCCCTTCCTCAAAATCTTTCAGTGGATTCCTATTCCCCACAATCCTTGGAGAGATTCCTATTACATCATCAGTTACCTTCTTTCTTGTTCAAGTCATTGTTCTACATTATCCCATTTTGATGTTAATTTTGCATGTCAACTTGGCTAGGCTATTGTTCTCAGAGGTTTGGCCAAACACTAGCTTAGTTGCTGTTCCATAATGTAATATATATAATCACCTTCCATAATGTAATCTAATAAAATATAACAGTTGAAAAGGGTGTTTCCTTAAGTTGTGTTCTGCCTCCAGACCACAAATAGATATTTTGGCAGAACTCACTCTCTTTTTATTGCCTGACCTACTGACCTTGGGACACAAGTGTGCAGAAGTCTCCAGCCTGCCAGCTGATCTAGGGATTTTGGGTTTGTCAACCCCCACAATTGCATGAGTCAATCCCTTGAAATAAATCTTTCTCTCTCTCTCACACTGGTTCTCTTTCTCTAGAAAACCCCTCTAAGACACCCATGCTCACTGAAGCATCTGCAGTTCCTCAAATTGCTACACTTTTTCCCATACATTGGCCTTTACCAGTACTGTTCCCTCTGCCAGACTGTCCTCATACCTCTCAGTTCCTACTTGATTATGAGGCGTTACCCAGCTATCTTCTGGAAAACATTTCTATACCCACCCACCCACCGATTTCCCAGAGTAGGTTAAAAGACATCAAAGGAGCACTCTATGAATCTATCTCTGTCTATTTACCTGCCCATCTCCCCACATGGGCCTTAAGAGGACTATGCCTTGAACATTGAAATTCATAGTTGTTTACTGGTTAAAAGATGAAATCACAGAGGGACAGCTCCTCTACACATCTGTCACAAAGACAGATGTTTCTCAAAATGGCTCTGTTGGATGCTGTTCAGGGGTCTTTCTATTCATGGAATGAATACTCCCACACTGCTTCCATTTGGTTTACATTTCTTTGGTCTTAAGATCAATAGTCTTCTGTTTTTGTTCTAGGTGGAATTACTTGAGACTGCTGAGCTTGCAGCTTCTCACTGTATTGGGGTTCCCACCATCCTGTACACCATAATTGGACAGACTTTCTAGAGTGTGGGCACCCTTTATAGTGTCTCTTCCTGAATCAGATCCTCCACACCAGCATCTTTCTCCCCCATTGACTTGCTGAAGTCTGTTGAGGGACCCATGGGGAGCTGAGGAGCTCTGGTGGCATAGAGCCTAAGGCCTTTGACTGCTAACCAGAAGGCTGGGGTTCAAACCCACCAGCCACTCCTCAGAAGGAAGGTTGGGCAATCTACTTCCTTAGTGATACTGCCTTGGAAACCCAAGGAGCGGTCACTGTAAGTCAGATCTGACTCAACAGCAGTGAGCTTTAGAGGGGGAGCTGAGGGTGCAAGGTGGATATCTGACATCTAAGGCAACTTTGTAAAGTCCCCTGTCTTCTTCTCTCTTGGTCTCTTTACTGCCACCCAAACCACAGCAAAATCCTAAAACACTGTGAGTCTCATCCAGCCCTGACACTATTGTTGGCCAAATTACTCTAAAGTCATATTCCACAGACCAGGGCTGTATTAGAAAAAGAACTGGATCCGGAGTCAGACCATCTGAGTTCAATCCTGGCCCTTCCATTTACTACTTGCCTGGCCACATGAAATCATTTTGCTTCTCTAGATCTCAATTTCCTCATCCTTTCCTATCCGCACACAGAGTTATGGTGTCAGCTGGATGAGTTGGCAAATGTGAGAGTGCTTGTTGATACTAGGGGATCCACAAAGGCAGGTAAGCTGATGTGCTTTAAAAAAGAATAAGAGATCAGGCCTAAGCAAGGAGAAAGCAAGAGATCCTGTACTTGATGTTTCTTACAACCCTCTTCTAGGTGTTTCCATGACAATCCCTATATTTACTCTCCCCACTCCTAGAGGAGGGAGCTCTGGTAGCATAGTGCCTAAGGCACTTGACTGCTAACCAGAAGGCTGGTGGTTCAAACCCACCAGCCACTCCTTGGAAGGAAGATAGGGCAATCTACCTCTGTAGTGATACTGCCTTGGAAACCCAAGGAGGGGTCGCTATGAGTTGGGCCAACTCGATGGCACATAACAACAACAACAACACCCCTAGAGGAAAAGTCAGTCACATAAGTTGCTGACCACGTTAGTGTAAATGCATTTAATATACTACCTTTCTGGGGTATTTTAATTTTAAAATCAATGGAAGGAAGGAAACTCGAAGGAATTTATAACAAAAACCCAGGTGTGGTGAGACTTGTGTAAACCTCTTCTTCAGGAAATACGTTTCTGTGGTGCATGCTCTTGAACCCCAGTGTAATGGCAAGGCCCCTTTTTCATATTGATAGAGAATGGGCAGTTGAGAAATTTGCTGGGAACTCACATCTACCAGCAAGTGGACTATTAAAGGATTCTGCTTGTATGGTTGAAATGGCTTGCCAGTGGGGAATTATTAACAGTTTTGTAGTCTTTTTTGGGAAGTTCTCAGTTCACTCCAGGCCTCCAAGGCTGCCCAGCATGGATGAGACATGATTGCCCCACAGTGTGAAAGAGAGCGGGATATCTCAGCCCCTCTCTGACCTGATGTATCTCTAGCTGACATTGTCAGAGCTTGCGTCCCTTATTCTGATTCTTTTAAAGAGAGCAACAGTGTGTGCAATCACAAACACCACACAGGAAGGGCTGACCATGTTGTTCCATGGACAACAATATAGCTCGAAGGATAGGAATATGACCTTGGAGAATCACAAAACCCAGGAAAAGTGGAACTGGCCTTCCTTGAAGAAATTGGTTTTTCAAATCTCCCCTCAGGACTTTATTAGATCTTTCAAAGCAGGGAAACAAATTAGTACATGTTTTCTCCAGTATGTGGGGTCATTTGGACTTGAGTCCCAATCCAGCAGAGTCTGTACCCCATGGAACTTCCTCTCCTGCACTCACGCCCTGCTTCGGGAGAAGACTGGTGATCGCACACCTCCACTGTCATTGTAGGGCTGGTCTTCCAGCATTAGCTCTTCTGCAATATGGCCACCACTTTCTACCCAGAATGCTTTCTCTTCTTCCCAGAGGGCATTCTCTTCTTCCCAGAGGGACTTCTTATCCTCCCACAGGGCCTTCTCCTCCTCAAGTAGGGCTCTTTCTTCTACCCACAGGGCTTTTTCTTCTTCCCACAGGGCCTTGTCCTCCTGGAGAAGGCTCCGGTCTCTTTCCCATAGGGCATTGTCCTCTTTCCAGAAGGCCTTATCCTCCTTCCAGAAGGTACGGTATTTTTTCCAAAAGGTTTTCTCTTTTTCCCGGAAAGATTTTTCCATTTCCCGGAAGATCTTTTCCTCTTTCCAGAAGGTTTTCTCCTCTTCCCAGAGAGGTCTCTCTTCTTCCCAAAAGCCCAAGATCTGGCCTCGGAAAATGTGGATCTTGCTTCGGAAATTCCACATCTCTTCCCTGAAGTCTTCTATTTTCTCACGGAAAATTTTCATCTCATCCCGAAAAGCCTTTTCCTCCTGCAGTTTGTGAATTAGTTTCTTCTGGCGAACGTTAGGAGAGGAGACCACTGATGACCGGAAACAAGCAAGCCCCTTCCATTTGCTCACCTTGAAGGGAAACATCTTCTTACTCAGCCAGAGTGCTGAGGTGGCTATGATGGAGAACAGGTTGTTGGCCAAGTTCAGGTCAGCTGGTTAAACCCTGAGGAAGAACCAAAGAGAACATGTTCATGAGTACCACAGGCCAGGGAAAAAGCCACTGGGTCTGCAATGTCTGATTTGGGAAGATCATTGATCTCTTTGCTCCCTTAATAGTGTGTGCGAGGGACAGGCTATGGTAGAGAAACATGTCAATGGTCATGGGTTTGGGTAAAGAGATGCAGTACATTCAAGCTTCAGGCTGCTAACAACATAAGTTCTAAGACAATAGAGTCAGTGGTTCTCAATCAGGGTTTCAGTATAAATACGTGTGACAATCATGTACAGGTTTTTTTTTTTTTTTTTTCTCTTTTTCAATTATAAAGTTAACAAAGCCCAAGAACAATTATTTTTACATGAGTCAGAAGTAATTTGAGGTTTTGGCATTCTGACTTGAGAATTATTTATGAATTTATGAAGGTGACTTTCTTACAATCATTTTCACAGTTGAGTGGCACATATGTGAATGTCCTCTTTTACAAGCTGTTATGAACTGTATTGTGTTCCCCAAAAATTAAGTCTTAACCCTTGGAACTCCTGAATAAGAATTTGTTGGAAATAGTCTTTGAAAATGTTATCAGTTAACATGAAGTTATACTGGAGTTGGGTGGATCCTAACTCTATATGACTGATGTCCTTATAAAAGAAAAAAGACACAAAAACAGACATTAAAGGAGTAAAGATTGCCATGTGAAGATGCATCTACAGGCCAAGAAATGTCTGAACTACTGGAAGCTGAGAGAGAATGTGGCTCTGATGATACCCTAAATTCAGACTTCTAGCCTCCAGAACTGTGAGACAATAAATTTCTGTTCTTATAAGCCATCCTCTTTGTGATATTTTATTACATAGCCCTAGGAAACTAATAAGCATGTCACCTGGGAAACAGAGTGAATGATCCAGGGAATTTTATCTTGGTAGAAGACTGTATTTCAGGAAAAGAAGTTTCAAACAAAAAAGTTGAGACATAATACCAAATGTGGATGAGAATGTGGAATAAGAGAGGCTCTCACCCAACATCAGGCAATAGTGAAGACACCTTATGACCCAGCAACTCCACTCCCAGATACACCCTAAAGATGCTTGTGAGTTGTGACCAGGATACTTGTACAAGAATGTGCAAACAGCTCTGCTCATAAGAACTCAAAACTGAAAATAATCCAATGACCATCACAGTAGAAGAGATTTAAAAAGTGGTGGTATATTCATGCAATGGACAGCATAGTTTCATGTGAAAACATAAATGAATCTTATAATGCTGAAATAAAGAATCAAGATTTGAAGAATAAACTACCAAAACAGTCAAAACAAAAATCACATAAGGAAATATAATAAGGTGATAACACAAAAAAGAAAGGTAAGGAGGTGACTCCTGTAAGTCAGGATAGTAGTTACTTGTTTGTGGGGGGTAGGAGCATTAAGGGGTGTAATTAGGAAAGTATATGAGAAGGTCTGTGAGGATCTCACAATAGTCTATATCTTTGGGGATGGTTACAAGTATATTTGTGACAAAAATGTGTTAAAAGTTGTAAATGTATGCTATATATACTCCAGTAAATGCATTATATTTCACCACAAAGTAAAAGCAGAAGGAAGGAGTCACATGATTATCTCAATCAATGCAGAAAGGCATTTGATAAAATCCAACACCCTTTCCTGATAAAAACTCTCAGCAAAAATAGGAAGAGAAGGGAAATTAGTCAACATAATTAAGAGTATATATGTAAAAAACAAAAAAGTAAAAAGCCAACATTACTCTCAATGGAGACAGATTGAAAGCATTCCCCTTGAAAACAGGAATGAGACAAGGATGCTCGTTATCACCACTTGTATTCAATATTGACTGGAAGTCCTAACCAGACAATAGGCAAAGGGAAATAAAAGTTATCCAAATTGGAAAAGAAAAAGTAAAACTATCCTTATTATTAGATGGCATGATCCTATACATAGAAAGTCCCAGAGACTCCACAAAAAAGTTACTAGAACTAATAGAAGAATTCAGTAAAGCGGCAAGGTATAAGATCAACACAGATTTGCGAAGATGGTGGAATAGGCAGAAAGACTGCAGGGAACCTCTTCAACAAAGAAAAGGGGAACTAATTAACACAGAACAGAAGATAATCCTGGACCCCTGAGCCTTGAAGGGAAGGATATAGAAGTGGACTAAACCCAAACTAGTAGAAGAATTTGCATGAAAATACCAGAAAAGAAGACATACGGAGCTGCGGTCTGGCAGTGATCCTGAGCGATCGTGACAGCATAGATAGCTTGGAGATTCCCGAGTGGTGGTAGGACCTAAGAATTAACCTAAAAATCACCATGCTAGCCAGAGACTGCATGAAAGACTGCTCTGGTGGCTGTGGAATAAAAGGGGAAGCAGTGGTGAAGAGGAAGAGGCTGAGCTGTGGACTTTTGCCTGTCCAGAGGTCGCCACCATTTTGAATGTTTACAAGTGGCTTGATCATTTTGGATATTTAAAGAGACAGCACTCTACCAGATTCCAGGGGCTTCAGAACAGGTTCTGCTTGCCAGTAACCCCAAGGACACTCGAGACCTGCATGACTGAAAAGGTGCGACATTCCTCTTGTTACTCTTACACCCCACACTCGTTTGGTGAATGGAAGTGTGGCCATCCTACACTCCCACCCACCTTCTGGACCCACAGGAACTCCATCCCAGTCTGTGTTCTTGGATAGAGCCTGGGTACCTTGTCCTGTCCTCCACCGATTTTGTTCTTTTCCTTTATTTTTTTCTTTTTTCCTTTCTTTTTACTGGTGTTTAGTTTGCTTGCATTTGTCTGTTTAAAAACTATTATTATTAATACTTTTGTCCTTTTTACTATTATTCTTTTTTCTTCCCATCCAAGGTCCTAGTTTACAGCTTTTTTTTTTCTTTTCCCTGGTCCCGATTAATTTTTTTTTTAATTTAAATTCTTTTTGTTTTCCCCCTTTTTTCTCATGGTTAACTCCATTCCTTGTTTTTCTTCTTGAATTTTTCCAATTTTTTCTTCATTATTCTCCTTCTCTACCCTTTTTCTCTTAGTGCCATATATCCAGATATTGCCAGTTTTCTTCTTCTTCATTTTTCTCTTTTTTTGGTTACTGTTCCTGTGTGATTACATGGTGTATTTTTGTCCATGTGCTTTTAGTTTTTTGATGGTTATTTAATTGTAATTTTTGTCTAACTTAGTGGGAGACAGCAACAGTCCCCATAAGATAGATACAAGTACACTCAAACCTTCTGCAACTTCACTTACTGAGCGAGAACTACCACCTCCATCTCCACCAATGGGCCAACGATAAAAAACCACCAAGAAAAGCCTGAATCACCCTTGGTTGCTCTTCACAAACAGTTAACAGAGATCTAAATACACCATGATGTCTCAGAGACAACAGACCATCACAGTCCACACAAAGAAACAAGATAAAATGGTAGAAACAAGGGAACAGGAGACAGACCCAGAACACATCCCTGAGGAAGAAGCAGCATTGGAACTCTCTGATGAGGAATTCAAAAGAATTATATTCAGGTATCTTCAAAGAATTGAGAGATAGACCAAAGAAAACACAGAAAAAACCTTAGAAGAATTTTGGAAGAAAATACAAGAACAAAA